AAAAAAAAAAGATCTTAGCTTAAATCTAGACTTTACTTATTATTAGCTGGGAGAATCTGAGTAAACCATATGTCTGAGCTTCAACATGCATAAACCGGCTTACCAAACCTTCAAGGGGTTCTTGCGAAGACTGCAAAGTAATCAATCAAGAGTAACTAATGATATCCAAAAATCAAGATAGAGTAGAAAAACTAATATACTACCTTTAAGACTGCAATAAAAATTTAAATACACTACTTTTGTTTCCTGCTATACATGTTTCTGGACCCACAGAACAGATGTATATGTACTACTTACACCACTAAGCGGCAAAATTATCCTGACCTTCCCTCACTAACTCATAAGAATATATAGTCACTGTCTGGTAATGAGAGCATATTAACTGACTGCAGTTAAACCATGCTTAATGTGCCACTGGGAATCCATTTCTCTCCCAGCCCAACCCTCCACCTTGTGCACAAATAGGACACTGTAGCTCAACTCCTGCCACAGCCTTTCCACTTGTCAGATCCCTAGCTCCCCAGGGGTTTAATCCCTGCACTGATTCTTCAAATGTCACTGCTGAGACAGGGAAGATTAGGATAGTAAGTGCTTGCCACCTCCTAATTGGGTGTGGCTGGGAAATGTGTTCTTGTAACTTGAGTTTCACCTTTCCCAACTCTACTAAATACTCTAGTTGGCAACTACAGTTGATTGCACTGTGGAAGTATAATTTAGAAATCTATAACTTTTTAAAAAATGCTTTTCAGGCTAGGATGTGGCTTAGTAGTACAGTGCTTGCTGTGTATGTGCAAGGTCCCGGGTTCAATACGTACACACAAACACACACACCTCATCAGGCTGGGATATGGCTTGTGCAGAGGGCTTGTTTGGCATGCCCAAAGGTCCTGGGTTTGATCTCTAACATCATGGGGAGACAAGAAAAAAACTGCTTTGCCAAACTAAATGAATTCAGACTGGGTGTGGCGGCATACACTTGTAATCTCAGCGCTTAGGAGGCTAAAAGCAGGAGGTTCACTACGAGAGTCCCATCTGTGCAGTGAGACCCTGTAATCCCTGTAGCAAAATACATTTAAAAAAGGAAACAAACTAAATAAATTCATATTGGCATCTACTAAGATGTTTCAAGTAATGATCAATTCAAAGAACTGTGTTACTATTTATTACAATATTTAGCAGATACTGTAGTAAAGTTAGGAATATCATAAAGAGGTATATAATCCCAAATAAACTGTCACAGAAATGCAGTTAATACTGTATCAAGACTATTTATCTATTGATCTACACTATAAAAAATGCAGAAATACACTAAAATATTACCTTGATGATCCTCTAAATCCATGTCAAGTTGTCTGATTTCTTCATTAAACTGATTTATTTTTTCTTTTATATCTGTTAACCTATTGGAATTTTAATAAATTAGAATAGTAGATATTCAATAAGAACTTAATGATGATAACATCTTTTCTAGGATTTTTAAGTAATATGCCTTATTCTGAGGACAATATTAAAAATTTAGAGAGAAAAACCTTTTCTAAATCCCTTTTCACAATTCCTGTTGACAGCACAAGTACATTCTAAGAATATGTGTTTGCATGACTTAGACAGCAGACCCTTGCCCAACCTTTTAAGCTTCACTTTTAAATGACAAATCTTTAGCAACTTTTCTTTTGGAACATTAGTACAAAATGAACTAAATTGGCAAATTATCCTAAAAACTTAGAAAATGAAGGCTGGGGAGGTTGCTTGGTGGTCTAAGTGCCTGTATGGCAAGTGCAAGGATCCGGGATTGATCCGTGGGACTGCATGCAATGCCAGCCTCTGAACCCCATGCACGCCATGTTGACCTCAAAACTGGGTGTAGTGGTACACGCCTATAGTCTCAGCACTGGGGAGGCTGAAGCAGGAGGATCACTACAAGTCTGAACTGCGTAGCAAGACCCTGTAACAAATAAATACACACAAAAAAATTTAAAACTAAAAAACAAAACTTAGAAAATGAGGGAAAATCTACCACTAGTAGATTATACAGGTTAAAAAATATTAAACAGTAATGCTTACTGCAAAGCTATAGCATTTATGGCAGTGTCATACTGCAATATGGATAGACATATGAAGGAACTAGAACTGTGATTTCAAAAATAATAGCATACGGTATGGTCAACTGACTTTGAACCACAGAGCCAATACACTTCTATTCTTGAGAGTACATTTCTTTTTTCTTTTTCTTTTTCTTGTGTTACCGGGGACTGAACTAAGGACAACAATTCTATTCTTGAATAGAATTTTCAGTAAGTGGTACTGGGACAACTGAGTAAGTACAAACAAAAGAATGAAACTGAACTCCTACCTCATATATTAACCCAAAATAGATCAAAATTTAAATGTAAGGGCTAACTCGTAACATTTTTAGAAGAAAACACAGGCACAAATAACTGTGGACTGAACACTGGTTTGACATCAAATACATAATGGGAAAAAAAAGCAGAGCTGGACTTTAAATTGAAAGCATCAGTGCTTCCAAGAAAATCACTAAAAGTAAAAAGACAACCCACGGATTTAGAAAAAAAATTTACAAATCATGTATTGACAAGTGACTTATATTTAGAACATACAAAAAATTCTTTAAACTAAACAATAATAATAACGATAATAAACCCACTTAGAAAGTGGTCAAAGGTCTTACATTTTTCCAAAGAAACTACATACCTGCTCAATAAGCACATGAAAAGAACCTCAACACCATTAGCTATCAGAGAAATGCAAATCAAAACCACACTAAGATATCACATCCATTAGAATGGCTACAATAGACAAAAAAGGACAAATTGCAGTGCTAGAGCAGATACGGAGAAACTAGAATGTTCAAATACTACTGACAGGGGGCCTGCCCCTTAGCTCAGTTCTTTAAGTGGCTGCTTCAACAAAGCAGTCAGACTCAGGTTGCTGTGGTTTGATCCTCACAACTCAAGCCAGACAAACCTGCCCTGAAGGCATTCGGAGCCAAAAAAAACTACTGATAGAGATGTCCAATGATACAGCTACACTGGACTTTGTCTTCTGCAGTCATCTGATCTCATGGAACTCTAATTCATAAAGTTAAACAGATCTGCTACATGATCCAGCCATTTCATTCAGAGATGTGTAGCCAACAGAAGTAAAAATATATATGTCCACACAAAAACTAGCACACTGATGCTCATACCAACATGATCCAAAATAGCCAAAATGTAGAGTAAGACAAATGTCCATGAATAGATAAATAAAATATGGTATAAGCATACAGTAAAATATTATTTAGCAATAAGAAGAAATGGAATACTGATACATGCTACAACATAGGTGAAACTTGAAATCCTCATGCTAAGTGAAAGCATTCAATCACATAAGATCTAATATGGTATGGCTACATGTATATGAAATGTCCAGGATAGATAAAACTATCAGACCTAAAATAGGTTGCTAGTCACAGAAACAGAAAAATATTTTTCTCTTTTCCTTTCTTTTTTTTGAGACAGGGTCTCACTGTAAAGTTCATATTGGCCTTGAACACACTATGTAGTGCCCAGACTGGCCTCAAACTTGCAGCTATGCTCCTGTCTCAACCTCCCAAGCGCTGGGATTATAAGTGTATGACATCACAGCCAGCTAAAATGGGAGGATACTGATGCAGGAAATGTTTCAAATTTGTGGGGTTTTATTGAGATGCATGAACCTTTCTAAAATAATTACACAACTCTATGAATTTACTAAGAAGTTCTGAATTGTATATTTTAAACATGTGAACCAGCATAGTGGCAAAACAATACTCCTGTGATCCTAGCACTCTAGGAGGCTGAGACAAGATCACAATTTTGAGCCCACCTTGGACAGTTTAGTTACTACAGTGGACGCTGTTTCAAAATAAAAAAATTAAAATAGGAATATAGATATATCTCAGAGTGAAGGTCCTCAATTCAATTGAAGGTCCCAAGAAAAAAGTAAATTATAATTTTTTTATGGTGGTAATGGTATGAGGGACCAATTCCAGGTCCCTGAGCAATGGTAGGTAAGCACCCCCACCAGTGAGCTATATTCAGATCTGATATATATGCTTTTAAAGAATCAGTTTTATTAAGACATACCTCTTAAATACTCAAAAATATTCAAAACTATAAGATTGAAAGCTGCATTAATATTATCAACATGAACCACAAGAAGAACCTATAACTATATGCATTCTAGTAACTTTAGAATGTAACTTGGAAGATGAAAAGTGAAAGTAAAATGTCCTCATATAAAGGTACTTACTGTCTCTCCATGCTGGCTATTTCTTGATTATCTTCTTTAACCTACAAAGGCAAAAAAAAAAGCATTCAAGTCATTACATAGCCAGGCATGGTGGTACATTCCTGTAATTCCAGTACTCTGGAAGGCTGAGGCAGAAGCTCAATGCTCACTTAGTGAGGCTCTATTTCAAAAATTAAAATTTTTTAAAAATCTGGAGATCTAGCTCAGTGCAAAGACCCTGGGATTAATCCCGCCTACAAAACCAAACAAAAAAAAAAAAACCAACAAGAAAAACTACAGACAGACATTACTATACTATTTTAGGAGAAATTTCTTTCTTAAAACCTATTTCTTAGAACTTCACATTTGAAATTAAAGAGAATTTCACTAAAAAACTATCCACAGATCCATTTTCTTTTTACTCAACAGCAAAGTAATAATTGATATACTCTAACTATTCTATTTTTTTTTACTCTA